ACAGAACCAATCCATCACAGAGAGCGTTCACTCACTGCTGACAGTGCATTCAAACAGGGCTGCGTTTCCCAAAAGTATCATAAGAAAGCATTGAAGCTTTTGGGAACGGCAGCCCTGAACAATGCTTATCAGAGGACAGAAAAAAACATATGTTTGAGCTATTTCACAATAAACAAACTGAAATCGCAGCCTACATAGTTTGTGCAATTACAGTTATTTAAATTGAACGTTGAAAGATAATATAGATCGTGTTCTATTCTGTAATGTTGACAGAAATCATACACTGTCAGAATAAAAAGGTTGCATTTAATGCATGCAACAGCCGGTCACTGGCAGTCCCTAATGGCAGTGCCAAATATTGCACTAAATCAAAAGTTCAAATGTTACAAATAAGTTAGAATAGTAATGTTGTAATACCGGTAGCACTAATGTAAAAATGTGATGATATATGTTACAAAAAAGTAACCATTTTGAAATACGCCGATGGTTGTATTTGATCTCAGAATTCCTGTCAATGTTGTATAAGGGTTTTTATGCATAATAATAACCCTAGAATGTGATCAAACCGTTTAAAATAGCTGGGCTGAGATATATAACTATTTTTATGACTGCAGAAATATGTTAATTCAGTATACACATTATCCCACCGGTTACAATTGTGACTGACCATAAAATACAATTTTTCACACACTTTTCCAAAAAAAAAAAATTTATATATATATATATATATAGATTATTTCAAAGGGTTACTAATGATGTATCATTTGGATATTTACATGTCAAATTTGGGATTAAACGTGTTAAAACGCGTTTTAAGCATAAAGTTAAGTGGTATTTACTCTTAGTAATTTAATAATTTAATACATTTCATCATTTAAAAGTTTAGTTCAGAAGTATCGTATCGGCATCGACGATACTGCCTTGAAAAATATCGGTATCGTATCGAGAACAGAATAAGTGGTATCGCCCATCCCTTTCTCTCTCCGCGCGCCGCGGCGGCTCTTGATTGACAGGTGGCGTCACCACTGAGCCCGCCCCCTATTAGCGCGCGACGCACGCAGCAGCCGGTACAGGACGGAAGACACGCACTGATAACGGCTAATATAAACAAACCGATCGCCACCAAATAAGACTAGAGGGGAAACCCAAGCAGGTCACTAACTTACAGACTGCTGTTCGTGACGTTCGGCTAGTAGTTCGACGCAGATTGTTATCCACTGGTTTCCCTTCAGTGCTCAGGCTGATGTTAGAGGAAAACACCAGAGAGACGCAACAAGCCTACTAATTCTAGGCTAAAACGCATATTTGAACGAAGTGCTTAAACATTTGGTGGAGAAAGGCCTAGTTCTAGCATTTGAGCAATGCATCTACAGCTGCTGGAGACGCACGATAGAGCGAATAACGCACTTCATTAGGATAGCAATCCACATAAAACATGATTATGACGCCCCCTAACTATTTACAGCACTAAAGCATGGATGTGGAGCGCACAGACGCATGCATTGCATTACTCTGCTAACGCTACATCCTTCACACCCACCTTAAGATCTCCGTGCTCAGCGCACGCGCGGGTCTTTGAGATGTCACCGGCTTGGCACCGCGAGGAAAGCTGTTTTTTCATTCGATCCGGTACATTTGCATGCGTGTAATGAGAGTAAATAGTGTTTTATGCCGATCAGGGCAGACAAAGCGAGAGCGCCATCTTGCCGGAGACGCGCTAAAATGGCGCGCGCGAGACTCGGTGCATCTGCGCGCGCGCTCTGAACGCGCACGCACGCACGCACTGCGCGCAGTTCACTTAGAACACCACCGTCTGCGTCCTCGCTGAATGCATTTTTAAAAAACACAGAAAGATCATAAATAATGCGCAGGAGAATGCGTGCGTGCATGCATTTAATGCAAAGAAAGTGCAGCGTAGGAGGAAAAATTAGGGCATGAGTTACCGGCGCATGCTATTGTAAATGTGCAAAATCACGCCATGCATTTGATTTCTTATAATGTTATGTCCTCACTGTGCCTAGCATCCATACCTTTGCATTCTGTTCTCCAAACATCACGATGCATGCTTTGCACTTCGGACACACTCTCGGATCATGCTACATAGACTGCATGCATGTGGAGGAGAGGACGCTGTTCTCTGGCGCATGCAGCCGCACAGGTAGTGCACATACCTGCAGATGGCGGTGCTCATTTCGTCCCCTTTTAAACCTGCAACCTTCTGTAAAATATGATTTTTCTTTTTTTTAGGCTAAGATTGCGTGCTGATATTAAACAATGCTAGGACCCATGTTGCTATGGTGGAGCTCCATGCAGCTGAGTGGTTCGTTTTAATCGCTTAAGCGTTAACCAGGAAGAGAAACTCCCTTCTTTGCAGATGTTTTGTTCGTTTTATATCTTTAAAAAGGTCTCTGCTTTTCTATCTGCATTTCTCGATCACTAAACTGAGAAAAAGCCATGATCATTTTGCAAGGTGCAAACAATATGCATTTTGAAGAACAAAGCACATCAAGAGGAAATCGGGTAGAAAGAAATTATTTTATTTTGAAGCAAATAAAAACAATGACATTCATTTACAACTGACTGAGGAAAAAAAAAGAGAGCTGCGTGATCACTGGAAGTTTAAACGAAAGCTCTTCTCTTGTTCCTTGCTGCGGCTTTCACACAGCTTTGAGACCTCCTCCACTCGCCTGTGGAGTAAAACTGCACAGAAAAACTACATGCTAAGTATACAAGCTACCATTTAATCAAGCGTTTAACGGACTGGTATTTTTTTAGTGTGTCAAAAGGATACCAACCAGAGTTTTGTTCCACCCACTGCAGGGAGTCCATGTGTGCATTGAGGATTTTGCAGATCTGCTGAAGCTGAAAAACAACACCAGTCATTCTTAGTCCAGATCACACGACAATTCATAAAGAGCGTTTCTGTCTGGACCATCGATCGCATTCTGCATACCGGGTCAGTGGTGTCAGCAGGTCCGCTGGAGGTGTTGAGGTGTTCAATAATCTCTTTCAGATCATGGGACATTCTCTTGAGTTGCGCATCCACATTTTCTGCCAACTTGTACCTGGATGAAAGAGATCATTCAGATACTCAATAACATCACATTATAGGAGGGCTGATAGAGTCCTGCCTGTTTTTGCTCTTACGTTCGTTCTCGCTCTTCGTCTGCGTTCTGCATGTAAATGGTCCCGCTTTGCTCCTTCACAGACTCCTCTAATGGACCAAGAAGATCCTCCAGCTCTTTCTGCTGGGACAGGATGAAGTCCAGTTCTTGATCCAACCTGTGTTACAAACACCAAAATATGAGAAAGTGTACATCAAACATGTTAACAGACAGTATACAAGCATGCTCGGTAATATCTTAGACTGTTTAGGTCATGCTGAAGTTACTTGACTGTGACTGGTCAATCGCTGAAGTCAAAATAATTTTGTATAATTAACACTAAACTATAACTGAAAGATGCCACAGGCAACCAACATTTTCTGCTGTCCCAGTTTCTCTTATTACACTTTTAATTAATGCTGCACAATAATGGTTAAACGGTTAATCACGGTATTTTGTAAAAAAAAAAGATCATGGTTGTCACCCCCCCAAAAAAGAGTATGGGTGTCCCCCCCCCCCCCCCTCACATAAGCACAAACCAAGAGAATGTCAACACATTTGGTTTGTTCACAGATTTGTGACAGAAAACAGACCGCCTGTATTACACTTATATTTGAGCAGAATCTCAATAGAGATCGCTTAACTCCAGCTTACATGTTTGCCTGTGTTTTCACCTCATCACTGCTTTTTTTCCTTAACGTAGAGCGGGCGAGTGCACATGGTTGCCAGGTTGGAAAGATTAAGTAAACCACTGGCCAGAAAACATATCGATTTATGAAAAAAAGAGCTCTGATTGGGAGATTTCAACTCTTGAAATCTGGCAACTGCAACCATGAAAGCTTGTGGAGGCTTGTTACCAATGCAAGAAAACACAAATGCCACATTAAAATAACATGTTTCCAGGATAAACAACCAGCAAGCAAATAATCGATTACCTTCGTTGGTCCAGTTTGACTTTTTCCATATCTTTATGTAAAGCAGTTATCTAGAAGAAGAAAAAAAAACACGTGTTCCGACGACTTGTCACTGGAAATCTGTTGCAATATGGTTTTAGGCAGTAACACTAGATTCAGGTTTTTAGATGGGTAAGTTAACTATGGGTGTCCTAAGTTAACTAAGGTGGTTTTGTGATTGAGAAAGCAATCCAACCCAACAAACCAAGCTGTATAATCATAATTCACAATGGGAAATGTGTTATATAAAAAGCAGCAGTGTGTTTCTGTGGGTGAACACATTAGTATCACAGTTGAAATCCAAAAAGCACCTCTTCATCTTAAAACGTGTACTTCCTCTTCTCAGAAACAGGTGCAATGCAAGAATGCTGTGCCAACAAAGCCTTGATTAAAAACAGTGCGCTAAACAGAAAACAGTGTGCTAAAAGAAGAGTGCAGGGCTCGCAAAATGTAAAAATCGCTGGTAGCCCTTCGGGCAGACATTCTTCAGATTTTGGTAGCCCATGTAGGGTATCAGACCGAATCAGACAATCTAAGATTTGGTCAAAACATGGTTGAAACATGAGGAGCCCACAGAGGCCCAAGACAACAGGATGCTCATAAATCAGACCCTAGCCCTAGCCAGTCTGAAGCAAGCCTAACCAACTCTTTCACAGAACAGCTTTCAACAAGTAATCAAGATTAAATGGTCAAAGAGATGACCGCGTGACCATCACATGGTAACCAGTGATAGCAATCACAAGCTCTTTGGATTGACTCCCCCACTTAGGAGACAAAGAACAAACAGATTCCTTACCGACCTTTTAACCTCTGGTCTTCACAGAATATGTCCTCATCCACAGAATGCTACAGAAACTACCTTTCCATGTAAATATGCATCTAAATGACACTAAAAGGACTTGTTGTGAGCAACTAATCCTTTCTATGCATAACTCCATATCATGTATGTAACACACATGTGACTTATCAGATCTTAATCATTTATTGTGTATGTATTTTGAATAACTATTGAATAGTTTATAGGATCACATTCATGTTTAGTATGTGTGTGTTTGTATCTTCTTGCTTGAAACGTTTCTTCCAATCAATTCTTTGTCAAATGTATCATATTCTTGTTATAGAAATCATGTCCAAAACTATACTCTGCAAGAG